ATTACCCGTTGTGGTGAAAGAGAGAGAGAGAGAGAGAGAGAGAGAGCGAGTGACTAGTCTAGTAGTTTAGTTCAGTCTAATACCCAAAACTACTACCTACCTACACACACCCCTCTTTCGATTACCGCCCGCCCGCCCTCTCTCTCTTGCTGTTGCTGCTACTAGCTGATTGCTGCTGCACTGTCCATTCATCTTCCCCAACTGCCTCATCCTTCCTATTCCTATTCCTATTCCTATTCCTATTCCTATTCCTCCTCCTCCCTCCCTCCTCCCACTCTCTTCCTTTCTTCTCTCTTCTCCCCCCTCGGTCGATCATGCCCTCCAACGCGGTCAACACTCTGTCTTGTCAATTCTACCAGAAGTGTTGAATCGGTGCAGCTGCCAAAGTCCGGATTACGCTCCCCCCTTCTCCGTTGTCCAGGAAGTCCCAGGTTGCGAATCGCGTTTCCCGAGGCTTGCATCCCCTTCCCGCCCGCGTTTGTCGCTCCGAAGCTCTCTCTTTGAGCCCGCCGACTGGCATTACCCCAACTGGGTAGTCGATATACCTGCCAGCCAGACGAGCACAGGGTCAAAGGTCAATTCTGCGGTGCAGATTATCACTTTCACCTTGCTGTTTCCCCGAGCGTCACTTGCACTTTTCGGCAAATCCACTGAAATTAAAAAAGGGCAAAACAAAAAGAAAAAGAGAATTGAAAAAAAAATTATCCTCGACACGAACAACAGGCGCCGCCCGTTCCTTTGACAACGCGGTTATTGATTGTCCTTTATTTTCTTTTCTTTGCTTTTTTTGTTGCTTGTTTCTGTTTCTGTTGCCTGCCATCTTACATTGCCCTTTCCTAGCAAAAAAGTATCGTTGGTTGTTATCGACCTGGTGTCTTGCCTATACCAACAACCTTGGAACCATTGCGAAATTTCTCTATTGGGGGTCGTCGCTCTTCACGTTGTTAGTCAGTGACTTCTTCTCTCTTTTTGCCCACCCACTCAATCCACCCACCTTCCCCCCCTTCCCCTTCTCGGTGGTGGTTCCGATGGGCCCCCAAACCCAAGAAACTAACCTGAGACAACAGCTTAGCTACCCGACCGGAAACTCATTCAGCCCCGGAAACTTCGGTCACATTCCCATACCACCTTAGATTAGGAAAAACTCACCACCGCTCCCCCTCCAAAAGAAGAAGTCCACAATAGCACCCCCTTCCCCAATAGGGCTTGAAAGTGCCTAACTGCAGGTCGCACCACTGTATTTGTCCCCAGAAAGAGTGCAGACGCGACCTGGTTAGCTGGATTGGTCAGTCCATTTCTGCCAGAAGAGGCTGTCTCGGACCGTGAACACAGCAGGACTCAGCTCTGCCGTGCCTTTCAGAAACGAAGGTATGTGAATTACAAATCGCGCCCCTCAGTGCACATCCATTCCAATCAGCCCACCATCCCTCCTCTTCTGCCACATGACCGTGCAGCCATGCTGCAGCGACTTCCTCCACCTCCGCGATCAAGGGTCGGCTGCACTTGCAGCAATTGAGCGCCTGGCAGCGCCCTTCATTGAATTCGGCGCTAAAGTGCTCAGCAGCCAACTTCATTTTCGGTCCTGACAGCTTCTTCGGCTATGAACGACCCCGAACCGCAGTCCCTGCCGCACACCACCCATGCATCCTCTGCCGTGACCCCTACCGCGCTCCCGTCCGACTTGGACGCCAATCGCAACCCCATCTATCCTGACCTGCTGGGCGCTCCCCCGATCCCACCGCCGAGGACTTCGTCCACCCAACGAAGTCACCACGGCTCGAGCTCGAAAGCGACGGCTTCCTCCGGCGAAAGAGCGTCAAGTTCGCGCCATGGAAAGAATAGAGCGGAGGATCGGAGCGCGATGCAGTCGGACAGGGAGGTTGAGGACTTGCCGGGGATGATAGGCGCCCGCGGTCAGCCTGTGTTATCATCCGCGGCTGATGCACACTCGGACGAATTGACCGACCCGTTCCCCGACCAAGCAACATTAGCCAAGGAGTCCAGTACGGTGCTCAATCAATTGCTGGTTAGCGACCCGGCCGTGGATATTGAGCGCGAACAGGTACGGCAGGGAGGCGCATCGATATCGCCATCGACCGAGGGTGCGCCTACGTCCGGTCTGTCTCTGGTGGGAAGCGATGGGGTGGATGATGGAGGTCGCGGTGGACTGCGCAGTCGCCACGACTATAACGAGAACGCGGCAAAGCGCAAGGAGACGACATTTGGGCAGTACATTCTGGGTCAGACTCTGGGAGAGGGCGAGTTTGGAAAAGTCAAATTGGGCTGGAAGAGAGACGGAACTATCCAGGTTGCGATTAAGCTCATCCGGAGGGAATCTCTGGGGTCAAACCCCAGTCGGTTGCCCAAGATTTATCGCGAGATCTCAATTTTGCGCGAACTTTCCCACCCGAATATCGTCCGGCTCCACGAGATGGTCGAGACGGATCGCCATATCGGTATTATCATGGAGTATGCTTCCGGAGGCGAGCTATTCGACCACATCTTGAACAACCGATACCTCAAGGATAATGCAGCCCGGCGCCTCTTCGCGCAATTGGTCTCCGGTGTCGGCTATTTACACAAAAAGGGAATTGTACACCGTGATCTGAAGCTGGAGAATCTTTTGCTCGACCGCAACCGAAACATCATCATCACCGACTTCGGGTTTGCCAACACCTTTGATCCCGTCGACGAGCTTGGTGAGGAGATTGAGTACAACCTGACCAACAAAGATTTTGTGAAGAGGATGCGCCTGGACAAGCCAAACGCAAAAGGTCTTCGGCGAGGTGATTTGATGCAGACTAGCTGTGGCAGTCCTTGCTACGCGGCTCCGGAGCTGGTAGTCAGTGACTCGCTTTATACCGGGCGCAAGGTCGACGTTTGGAGCTGCGGTGTGATCTTGGTGAGTAGTCCTGCTCGCTTTTCGTGCAACTTGCGCATCTACCTCATGTTTGTCATACTGACTAGGCCGTTGTATAGTATGCCATGCTGGCCGGCTACCTGCCATTCGACGACGACCCGGCGAATCCGGACGGTGACAACATCAACTTGCTCTACAAATACATAGTTACCACTCCTTTGACGTTCCCCGAATATGTGACCCCCCACGCACGCGATTTGCTGAGGAGGATTTTGGTGCCTGATCCGCGGAAACGAGCCGACCTTTTTGAGGTTGCCCGCCACAGCTGGCTAAGCGAGTACTCACATGTTGTGTCACATATCACCAGCAGCACAACCAAGGTCGCCGACATCGCCACCACTACGGTGCCTTCAGGTAAGACACCGTGCTCCCAAATCACGGGCGCAGCCAACTGATTTCTCTTCGCAGCCGAGCCCCACAAGGAAGTTCCGTTACTGGCACGGAGTGCATCCGTCAGAGAGCCACCCAAAGCATACCAAAATACAGCCCCGCCTGTGGGAGGATTGATCCATCACGCCGGAGACGTTTCGCAGGAGCAGGCCATCGAAAAGACAAAGAGTTCCCGAGACACCAAGCGGCGAACTGTCCAGGTCGAATACGTTGCCCCCCAATCTCAAACGGTAAGAGGCGAACAGTTCACCGGTACGGAGCACGCTCCTGTGGGGCCTTCTGGAGCCTTCGAACCTTCAGCACGGAGAGCGAGATCAGGGAGCCGAGGTGGACCTGTCGATATGCCGGCAAGCACATCGCATCAAAATATGGCTGGGGAATCCAGCGCACGAATTGGAGACTACAAGGCGGCCGCTGGTTCGGCGCCGGCCCCGGTATCTGGGCACCTGCCTCGCTCGACATCGGATACTGCAGCGCTCACCGGGCCGATGCCGACATCGGCCACTCATGCTACGCGCCCCACGACTGGCGGGTCAATGGCCTCGTTCAACGGGGGCCGTTTGCCATCAAGGGGATCGTATGGGCAGCCTGTGGCACCAACTGTGGCAGCAACCAATGCCCAGGGCCGGCTGGCACAGCCAAAAAGCCGGCAATTCAGTATTTCTGCTCCCATGCCACATGATAGTTCACAGCAGTCGATTGGCCAGCCCAGCACGCAGCACCTTCCGCCCAAATTCAATACAACACCCCGGCAAGAGCCGCCTAAGGGTCACAAGAGATCGAACACCGTGTCGAGCATTGGCGAGAGGCTCTTTGGTCGCTCTGGATCCATCTTCGGCGGCCGCGGAGGGCAAGCCAGTGGCTCGCGCCAGCGCAATGGCAAGCGTTATCCTCCCACCAGCATGAAGGAGCCGTACGGAGGAGACGACACGCGGATGTCGATGGACTCGCGACGCTCGATGCAATATGGCTATAATCGCAAGGCGAGCGAAACTGGTGTTGAAAACAGACCCCGGAGGTTTTCGCTCCTTCCGCCATCTTTCTCGTTGAAAGGCTTCTCATCCAGCCGATCACAAACCCCGGACGAAGAATCGCAAACGGATCGTTCCACTGAGAATCGCCTAGAGCAGCCCCCGTCTACTGGCGCAATGCGATCACGTGCGCGTGCTACCAGTTACGGAACGCAGGATGCGATCGCCATGGCGACGGACGGTGCACCAGGGGATGAGGTCCTCACTCAGGATGAACCTATTAATTATCAGGCCCGGATTGACCAGCAGTTTGCGATCTTGCACTCTAACCAGTCTGGCCTATACCAGCCCACTTCGTACAGTGCAGCATCGGCGGAGCAGGTCTACCCGAATGAAAACGACCACTATTACCGAAACCAAAGCGCCAACCACTCAACGCCTAACTACTACGATGATTCCACGGGGACCTTCGATAAAGGATCTCAACCGTCAATGCAGGCGGGTCGACCTGGGCGGGGTCCGGGCGTCTTGCCTAAGAACCATCGCAAGTTTGCAGACGCGTATGAGTACGAGCGCGACTTGGCCCACCGCCCCGGTAGCTCTGGCGCAGCCCGAAAAGTGATGGACTTCTTCCGTCGCCGAGCCAAGTCCCGGGCCGGGGATGACCGGTAGAATCGGCGTCTACATTTAATCTAATTGTCTAAAGATTTAATTCTCAACCTTTCTGATCGACTGACGCATCAGACGATCTTCTATTAATCGCCAATCAGTCGCCAAAGTTGGTCACCGTGGTAGAAGAACTAAGAACGACGGGCAATTCGAGCTCTCGGGCTTGCTTCTTGCGATGCAGGGATTGAACGTTATGAACTAGTCCAGGAGGCTCCCCCAAAAAAACGTTGTGACATCCACGCCCACACCCAAGGATCCCATCAAAGCTGGCCGAACCGACGGATCGAGACGTATCTCGGTCAAATGCGTTCCATCTTGGAGAAAAGGCTCGAGTGCGACTAGACTCTTGGATTCCAGCATTGACCCAGCAAGAGCGGTTATTTGGATACCCCGTGATACCCACGCAGCATTCGTCTCTTCTGTTGCTTGCAGCCATCGGTTTTTCTACATATTGTACCAGCCCCGTTTGTTCCCGCATACATACTGTTTTTTCTCTTTTGGTAGTTTCCTTTGTGCCCATTATCCCCTTATTTCCTTTGTTCAAATTCTTCGTTTCTTTTTCCCTGTTACTATAGTCCTGTTTGTAAATTGATCCTTTTCACCTTCAGCCCTTTCTGATCTGTTTATTCGATTCTCCGTGGCGGTGCGGCTCTGTTGGTGTGCTCCGGCCCGTTCTCCATACCTATTTACATTTCCAGACCCTTACTTGGAAGTAATTTAATATCGCCTCTTACCTTCTACCGTTCCTCGGAGATTGACTCTGTGTACTTTGAACCATGTTTGCTCTTCGACTTGGTTATCAGTCTGTCGAACTCTGGCTGGTGCACATTAGCGACGTTCTGTTGATTGCGATTCGGATGATTCTACTGTGTGTGTATTTTCGTTGAGTCCGCCGTGCATGCATGCATGTATGGGTGAGTGGGTGACTGTATGTCTGATTTGAAGGTACCCACCACCCAGCCCACGCCGTCTTCCCCCTCCAAGAAATCAACATTGAATACTATCAGCCACTGTTGTTGCTGCTTGGTGATCAGTTCAGATCGGCATAGCAGCCCTACGGGTCGTGCAGTAAGTTGCGGTAGCTGTGGCTGTAGAATTGCCTCGGGTTCCTCTTTCCTTCCATGAGCTGTCAAGCTTTGTGGATAGCAGGGACTGGTGGATGTCATGTCGAGTCATGCCATGTTTTAGGAACAAGGTACCAGCCTAGCCAATGTATATGCGCATTCAGCCTCGATGGGCTGCCGATGGCTTTCAATTCTGTTCCCGCCCTTCTCCGTGGAATGGAATAGAAAATGCGGCCAATCATTCTGCTTCCTGGCGTGCCTGTGGCTGCGCCAACAGTTTGCATGGTGGGTAGTGTGGTGCACCGATGGCGTAGTAGGGAGTAAGCTTGGGAATGAACATAGTACGTATGTAGAGATGGCCTACGCAAACAACATCCATTGTGCTGTTGTGTCGAGTAGGGTGGTTTGCGGTCGAGGTTCATCGGATATTTGTGGACGGAAGGGACTGGGGTGGTGGTCTACTGTTTGACTTGCTGGTATTGATGTTAATGGTTGCTACGCGCGGACAAGTAAGCTTACTTCCTGCTGGGTTCCAAGTTACGACTGTTGGATGATGATCTGCTGTTGGGGCTGTGTGTATGTGTGTGTTGGTTGGTTGGTTGGTTGGGAGTGGATAGAGGTACGTACCTACAGCTTGGCTGTAAGTACTATACTGCGTGTGCATGGGTTGGTCCAAGGAGAAGGCTGATGTATTGAGATCCTGGAGATGGTTGGAGCATGAGATATCATCTGTACTGTACGTCACAGCCTTTGGGCGATTGATTGGCGGGGCGGGTAACAAAAGTATTTGCTTGGCGAGGATATGAATGACGAGCAAAAAGTCATGACAAGAGTGGGATTCGAACCCACGCCATCAAACGATGATCAGGAAGCTTGTAGAAGCTGTGTGCTAAGGTAACCTTAACCTGACGCCTTAGACCAACTCGGCCATCTTGCCTTGGGATGTTATGTGTGTCATTTTGATGCAATACCTGCCTGAGGGCCGTCAATAACCGAATCATCACAACATAAGTCAAAGGATCGATCGATCAAAAACATCTAGACAGTCCAGTCGCATTGACAGGCGGTATATCCCCTCGGTGCTTTCGAATCGATACTTGTCACTGCTCTGGCCTTTTCCCCGGCCTCTCTTTTTCAGTACCGGCGTTGCTCGACCACGACCACATCATCCCCCACCGTGGTAGGCTCGGTATGTATAATATCTTGACAGGAGCAATCCCCATTCATCATGATCCTCGCTAGGAGCCACATATATTTCCTGCACACACGCGCACTTGAGAGATATCTCTCCACTACCGGGTCCCGCTGTTCGAATCAAGCCCGCTGACACTCCTGGGCGGGAGAGCAGCAAAGCGAGGAAACCAGTAGCATGCTTCATAGCTCTTATAGCGAAGTTAGGTTTATGATGTCAAATAAACATCACAGTTCAACATTCCGGGCAAGATGGCCGAGTTGGTCTAAGGCGTCAGGTTAAGGTTACCTTAGCACACAGCTTCTACAAGCTTCCTGATCATCGTTTGATGGCGTGGGTTCGAATCCCACTCTTGTCATGACTTTTTGCTCCCGTCTGTTTCGGGCCGACCGAGCCAGCAGCAGTCGCGGATCTGATATGGGGAGTATTGTCCATGACGTTGGGCAATGAATAAAGAGGGCATCCAACTCTATTATCCCGGATAGCTACGGCCACCTTTCTTGATCGAAGGCAACATCTTCCCGATCGCGTCGATCACCTCATGAATCCTTCGTCAACCCACCTGGAATTTTGCCTCAATCGGGTTCCAGGGTGAGCCGGCCCAGCCTTTGGTCGGAGGTCTGGCAGGGTCTTATCGATAAGTTCGGGGGATTCTATAAGTATGTACTGTTTTCGATTCAGGTTCTGATCCCGTCCTCCGCTCCTTCCGTCCGACCGATACGTCTTCTCCGAGAGGTATGACCGATGGGGTAATGATTATGACACGACGATTCTGATGCTGCTCTATGCCCATGCATATCCGACGCACTCGGACCCTCCTCTCCCGAGATTCTTCCCTATGGAGGAGGAGGAGGAGGAGGAGGAGGAGGAAGGGCTGGGTCCTGAGTGATGATTCTCTGGTATTCGCCAATTCACATCCGACACGAATGGCCAACGCGACAGAAGGGTGCAGGCGTGGTTGGTGGAGAAACTCTCTTGCCCTGTCTCCTGTCTGGTCTGCTCATCCGTCTGGATGTTTCTTTTTCCTTCACTGTTCGGAGTACCCGCGGTCCGTTCACAGCGAGGACCGTCGCCGATTGGGATGTCGGTGCCTCTGCCCTATGGGCAGTTAGGCTCAAGGTTCAAGATTCACAAGGTTCTACCCATCTACCGTCAGCTAGCTAGCGACGTAGCTTTCCCATTTGCATTAGATACGGGCGTGGAAGGTATTCCCCCCCCTTCCCCGGCTGCAGCCGTGTCGAACCGAGAAGGCTTGTGCAGCTGATGGTGGGGTTGGGACTTGGAAGCGAAGTGGCTGTAAGATACAGGAAACGGGGGATCTTGGATGCTGGCTAGGCACTGCAATTGGGTTTTGGATGGGTGGATGGGTGGTGGGGTGATGCAGTTCGTACTCCCCTCCATTCTTCCCCCTTGGTCCACCTGGTCGTGATGAGTGAAGTCGTCGAAAGTAAAGCGGGGATGTTCACGGAGTAGACACATCTCATCCCATGACCTTGCGCGCCAGACTGCCCAGACGGTACGGTACGGTTGAGATGGTGACGGGGTGGTCGGGTTTGGAACTAGATCGGAGATCCAAGGGCCCCAGAGTCTAGAATTTTGGACACCAAGAAGAGCAAGCAAGCCACCAAGGTCCTATTTACCGGTATCTGCTGCTTAGTCGACAATCTACGGAGTACCACGTCCAGAGACACATGCGTCTTATCGATGCACCCCCCCACCTCCCCCTCCCCTTTTCATCCGAGCTCTATCTATTGATCGCCCGACTCGTCTATTGCTATCTTGCCTTGGCTGTGGAACATCTACTGCATTTCTGTAGTTTCTATCGCATTGGCATTCTCCTTGGCGCCCATCTTGGATAGATAGTACTTGCTTGGCAGGTATTTGTTTTTCTTTCTTTTCTGATCGCGGGGAATCAACCCTTCCCCCTTTTCTTTCTTCCCTTACATTTTATCAACTACGGGCGAGCGGGATGCAGATGTGAATATGGTATCATTGGTGTGTATTTGATCTTCTAAAACAAAGTACTGGCTGGCATAACTTGGTTGACCCGAAACATCGACAACAAAGAAGGGGAGAAAAAAGTTAAGTAGTGTAGCATGATAGTGAGGCCGTCCTTTCACCCCACCCTTCCCCCGCCCATCAGAAAAGGAACCTCTGAGTTACATTCTTGGCAGGGGCGGCGATTCGTGTCCAGCGCGAACTCGTTTAATATGATGTAGGGCCTGAAGCAACCGTAACCGAGCCCGCGCTTGCTCAAGCGAGAGGGGCACTGTTGGAGCCATCGTGGCCTAGGTAGAGGAAACCACTGGGAAGGCGGGCAATGCCCGGACGACGCGACGAGTCGTTGCTGGTTGTGGAGGACTGGCTGCTGGAGCGCTCACGAGGGTGTTGGGCCGATGTGGCCGTGAGGGGACCGTTGTGGATAGGGGCCAGAACGAGGAAGCGGGAGGAAGCGGTCTCGGTGTACATGTTGATGATGAGATTGGGGGCGTAAGGTGTTTCGATTTGAGGATGGATCGGATGAGTAGAAGAGCTTCTGTGACAATGATTATTGGTCTATTTGGTTGAAGACGATGTCTTGAAAGAGAGACAACGCAAAGTAGAGACACAGAGAGACAGTGGATATTGAGTAGAGAGGAGAGAGTTCTGAGGTTTGAGACAAAGCTTCTTCAGACTGGGTTTCGTGAGACCTTTTATAGGATAGATGGGAAGGCGTGAAGGAGGGAGGGGTCAAGGCAAGCTGGAGGCAGATGGAGGAGCTCGGAGCAAACATGTCGATCAAGCAGCGGATTTCCGACTGGCCCACCTGCCTGCATGATTACAGCCTTTGGGCGCGATAACGACATTTCCATGCCTATCCGACGGGGAGCCGCGGGCAGGGAGCAGGGTGGGTATGTGGGTGATGGTGGTGGTAGACCATAGCTGATTCGTAATTCATCGTGTTTGGGGACAGAGCTTCACATGTGCCGACGATGCCAGATGGTGTGGAGGTGTGGAGGTGTGGAATAGAATTAACCCATGGAGGGGCAGAAGAACGTCATCTCCATCGCTTCTCCCCTCCCCCTTCCTTGCCAATTCACTAGGGCCAAAGTTAAGACCCGTAACGTCGAACACGCTGTCTCTGCCGAGAGTTCTGGTTGGACAAGCCGCGAGGATCGATGGAGATTACGGGCGTAGACGAAGGGGGAGATGTTTCAATGTTTCGCAAAACGGACAGCTCAGGGATCTCAGCCTCGGATGATCAGCAACCAAGACTGTAAATTGTGGACAGCCAAGACACTATCGAGGGTCCCGTGACAGGATTCTGGTGACAAGAGGAGATTAGTAGGTTAGTGGTTCACAAGACAAGAAGATGAAGAATGAAGATAGCTAACTTGGTGATACTGAGTAGGTGAGTGAGTAGTGGTCTTGCCCCTTTGGGATTCTTTCAGACAGA